TAGCACACTGACTATAGCGAACTAATAATAGATACTTTCCTTTTTGGCGTGCAGCGCAATGGTTATATTTATAGGCGAGTGGAGGCTTTCTAGAAATTTCAGTTTTACATAACAAAACAAATTTAAGTGTTTACGTACACACATATATTGTTGATTCCTACTCTCGAGAATCTTCTATAATTTTGGAGAATAAGCGGGAGTTTCGCAATACATATTTAACAGTATTAGCTATGTATGTTTCTAAATAGAAATTTAACCTAAACAAACGTTGATATTGAAATAAATATATGATAACAAATTCGTTACACACAAATATTTAACATTTCTCGCGCCACTGGCAGATGTACATTTCTCCATCTTTATATCCTATCAATCATTATATTAGTCATATATTAATCACTTACAAACGATAATTAGGGGAAGGATTAATAACACTATGTTACTTTTTTATTTTAACACCAATTATTTCTTTAGTATTATTTACGTTTACAAAAGTTAAGTTTACTCATAATTCAAAAGAACTGGCGATCCAGAATATCTACATTCTTGTTCATGCAAATAACCCTAATATAACCTCGATGTTAAATAACGAAAACAGAGAATTCATTACAATTAATGAAAATGTTGCTTGAAAAGATCCATCTCAGTAATAAAAGTAATAATAATGAGAACAGATAATTCCGTTTGTGTCATTTCACTGATGTTCTGGAAAATTTAGTAATTGTAATTTAATACGGTAGTGGCATAAATAGTCCTAACACTAACAACGTGATAAATTCAAAGTGAATATCACACACTTGGTAAGCTTCTGCTTCATAATGTCTGTATCTAGAAGCCATTCCTGTAATCATTTTCAACCTGTTATCCAATCTCTCAGCAAGTGGGTCTTGATCTTCTGCAAGCCAAGTGCTGAAAAAGTAGAAAATAAGTAATGTACTGGTGTAGCAAAAGTAACTGGCTTGTTCATCTAATCAGCACAATTTTTTTCAGAAAAAAAAATGTTAAGTCATCAAAACTGAATACTGAACTTGCCACCTAAAGTAAGTAATCGAAACCGTATATTAAAAGCTGATCTAGAACTGCAAAGTTAATTACCCTGGCACGTGGTAACTGTATATTCAAAATCGTTATATTCATAACTATAAAGTAAGTTACGTGGTAAGTCATCAAAACTTTATCTTAAAAGTTGATCTATAACTGTAAAGTTAGCAGCATAAGTAGTTCATCAAAACTGTATAACGCCGTAATAATTCATAAAACTTTACCTTAAAAGTTGATCTATAACTGTAAAGTTAGCAACATAAGTAGTTCATCAAAACTGTATAACGCCGGTTTGCAACTATAATGTTACGTAATAATTCATAAAACTTTACCTTAAAAGTTGGTTTACAACTGTAAAGTTAGCAGCATAAGTAGTTCATCAAAACTGTATAACGCCGTAATAATTCATAAAACTTTACCTTAAAAGTTGATCTATAACTGTAAAGTTAGCAACATAAGTAGTTCATCAAAACTGTATAACGCCGGTTTGCAACTATAATGTTGGTTACGTAATAATTCATAAAACTGTATATTAAAAGTTGGTTTACAACTGTAAAGTTAGTTACATGGTAATACATCCGAACAATATATGAAAAGTGTGTCTACAAGTATAAAGGTATTTACATTGTAAGTCCTCAAACCTTACAACAAAATTGTAAAAATGACAAATATTGACTTATTTATGTTGCAGTATGTACAATGGTAAACCTTACAACAGGATTGTAACAAAGACAAATATTGACTCATTTATGTTGCAATATAGAAAACGGTAAACCTTACAACAGGATTGCAACAAAGACAAATATTGACTCATTTATGTTGCAATATAGAAAACGGTAAACCTTACAACAGGATTGCAACAAAGACAAATATTTATTCATTTGCGTTGTGGTATAAACTTAATGGTAAATTTTACAACAGAATTGTAACAAAGAAAAATATTGACGTGTTATAGTAAACAGAGATTTTTTACATAGGTTTATATCATTTGAGGTTTGTAGCTGTTAAAACTATTTTTTAACTGGTATTTTTTGTGTTAATGCAGGAAAGTTTTTCTGGAAGGAATGAAATCCTCGAAATAACCCAAATGTTCAACGTTTCTTGGTTTCGTCCACAAGAAAGGACAGTGTGGACATTGTTTATATGAATATATTATAATTCTTTGAATTCGTAAGCTTAGAAACCATTTTATTTATTATCATATATTAAGCAGAGTTTAATTTGTTTGAAGTTAAGCACAAAGCTACACAATGTGCTATCTGTGCTGTGCCCACCACGGGTATCGAAACCCGATTTCTAGCGATGTAAGACATAACGCTGTGCTACAGGGGAGTTTAAGAAGAGTTGTCCACCTGTGTGTCTTTCTAGTGTCTTGACGTTGCGAGTTGCTGTGAGGAACTGGTTGAACCAATTCCTCTGAAGTTTCATGGACGATCCTAATTAAATGGACCTCCAAAATATCGTACTTATAATAGATAAGCAATCAGACGAAAGTTTTGAATTTGGCAGCCATTTTCATTTTACTGAGTGAAGCCGACGTCAAACTAAGTGACCTATAATGTCGCTTATATTCAGTAGACATGGATGTCAAAAGATACACGTTGTCCTGCTAATTCCGAGAATCGGCAAAATAAGAAATGTTGAGTGATATTCTAGCAAATTAACGACAACAAATATAAAAGAAACATATTGAATCATTGGACGATTAATTAAATAAAAGTAGCAAAAGGCGTAAACTGGTAATTTTTTTATTATTATTATACTCAAATCGTATGTATAAAAAGTAGCAAAACTTTAAAACAATAATTTCTGATTATGGCGGTCAGAACACGTGTTTTTTGTTGTTGTTTTTTTGTGGTAAAATCATGAATCCATTACATTATTATGACTGTATTCTATTCGTTAATTTTTTTAAGTTTACCTTTCATCGAGAGACTGGGTTTTATATAGAGGAGGAAGACATATTTGATACAATAGCCTGAATAATAAGATTGAACACATCGTATTAATCAATCTATAAAAAAAACGAATAATAAAGAAAAACAGTACTAACTTGGCGCTCGTTCTCTTCTGCGAAGCTTCGTAAAACCCGCTGTATCCATAATGAGTGGATCTTTGAAGCTGTAGAAATAGGAAGTACTTAGCGTCATCGTTGTAAAGTAAGCTTAAGGATATAAACGGGCAAGTCGTTACATGTCAAAATTCTTTAATAGATAGATCAACAGCCACATATATACAGACACATACAGATAGAGAGATAGTTTTATTTAGCTACATCTAAAAGATGAGCTGAGCAAGAAACAAATTGGCTAGGTAAATATTGCATTATTACAATTATTGATAACTTCCCCACTAGTCTAGTGTAACTTTATTAATCTTGTACAGCTTGTAAAATCGACAAATTAATTCAGAAGTTTCTGTTCTGAGTGTATTTTTTCTTTCAAGATTAACTTTGGCTTTAAATTTTCTAAGAAAATATAACACAGTATAACTGAAAAATTAATAAATAAGTCTTAAGTAAATATCGATTTTATTTGGGTTTTACTAAAAATTTACAAATAATTCACACACAAAAAGAATCATTCTTACGTAAGGCATGCTCAAGTTTTGCATTTTTCGAATTTCTTTATCACTGATGACGTCATACAACTGCGCTATATACGGTTTCTTGGACTTCTCCTCAAGTTTGATTGGTTGTAACAACAAATATGGATGATAACCTTTGAAATATCGACAGCGAAGATTCTTCTCCCACTCCAGAGGCTGCTCAAGAAAAGAAGTAAAATTGTTCTACGTGATAGCTTTTATTTTACTAACCAGGTGTGTTCAAGTCTAAAATCTGGTTAAGAAATTGTATACTATTACAGGTAAGAAAAAGAGAGTCGTCAACTTTTTGAAGGCCATAGATAGGCCTAAATAAAATGTTTTTAATTGTGTACCAGTTTAACGTTGAATATTATTTATGATTTTAACGAATAAGAATATAAATTAGTTATACCCTGATTGTAAGCTTCCCAACCAACTCTTAGTTTTCTTTTTCTCGTACCAATAGTTCTTGTATTATGAGTTTCTAATTTTTTACTCTTTCCACATTATTTCCATAAATCTAAGTTTCTAATCTCTGCACTATAGGGACTTTTAGTTAATTTAATGACAACTTTAACACGAAAATCTACAATGAAAATATGAAATTATCAGTTTAATATCAGCGTTTTTTATTCGTTTAAGTTTTCATTGATGCTGCTAATTTTTGTCAGTTATCAGATACACCTAGTTAATCACTTGGATTTCAAATATATTTCCTCTAAACCGGGTTTTGTTAAATAATTGTTGGAAATGAACATATGCGTTACGATGGCAAATACTTCATGTATTATTAGACGGTATAAAACTTTAACACTATAAAAACAAATATAAGCTTGTTTTATAAAGAACAATTTGAAACCTTTACGTATTATTAGCTTATAGAATAGTTCAAAACTCCAAGGACAAATATAAGCTTGTTTTATAAAGAACAGTTTAAAACCTTTACGTATTATTAGGTTATAGAATAGTTCAAAACTCCAAGGACAAATATAAGCTTGTTTTATAAAGAACAGTTTGAAACCTTTATGTATTATTAGTTTATAGAAAAGTTCAAAACTCCAAGGACAAATATAAGCTTGTTTTTTAAAGAACAGTTTGAATTGAATCGCATGAATTTGCTACATACAAAATAACAAAGTATTATGTTCCTATCATCAGCATGCAAAAAGTATAGAAAGATTAGGATTTGACAAATCAATGACTGGAAGTATAGAATCCACTATCGTGAACTCGTTATCACGAGTAGGTTCATTCTGGTACTTTAAAATTAACACAAAATAAATAGTGTTCTTATATCAATTCTTACAGTGAAAAATCTGATTTGTAAATGACTTAAATAAAATTGATGATATAAATAGTGCCTGATTTCATTCATGGGTTCTTAGAATTACAAGGCTTTTTGACTCTTCATGAACTTATGTATAAAAACTGTCTGTGTTTGTAACGAATTCAAGGTTGTTAGTTTGATGAACTGTACGTAGTATTTACCCTAAACTGCTGTTAGTTTGATGAACTGTACGTAGTATTTACCGTAAGCTGCTGTTAGTTTGATGCAGTCTACGTAATATTTACCCTAAGCTGTTGTTAGTTTTGATGAAGTCTACGTAGTATTCACCGTAAGATGATGTTAGTTTTGATGCAGTCTACGTAGTATTTACCGTAAGATGATGTTAGTTTGATGCAGTCTACGTAATATTTACCCTAAGCTGTTGTTAGTTTTGATGCAGTCTACGTAGTATTTACCCTAAGCTGATGTTAGTTTGATGCAGTCTACTTAGTATTTACCCTAAACTGTTGTTAGTTTTGATGAAGTCTACGTAGTATTTACACTAAGCTGTTGTTAGTTTGATGCAGTTTATGTAGTATTTACCCTATGCTGTTGTTAGTTTTCATACAGTCTATGTAATATTTACCCTAAGCTGTTGTTAGTTTGATGCAGTCTACGTAGTATTTACCCTAAGCTGTTGTTAGTTTG